AAATTAGCTTCTTTTAAAACATTCTTTCTAAGAGGATTAATATAGAAATTATATTTAAATATATATATTTTTTAAAGCTGGGACTTGAACCAAACTGTCAGACTTTTAAAGTTTAATTTACATGGTGGTTATAATTAAAGTTCCAATTTGAAATGGTCATAAAAGGAAAACTACTGGACCAAATGTTATCAAACTTGGGAATCATGTAAAGGAGGTTATGGGAATTTATTTTCCGCGGGAAAAAAAAAAAAAAAAAAAAAAAAAAAGAGTTCAAAAACTCACCACCAGTGGAAAAATGGTGCTGTATACAATATTGGTAAATGAAATAAGACATGAAAACATCTGTTTAAAATGTGTTTAATAGTTTCCGAAATGTGTTACAAAGCATGTTCAATGTAGCGTCCAGCATTTTCCGAGAGCAAGTTAAATCCTGTTACTGCATTCTTAACAGCAGTTCTTAGCATATCAGGAGGAATGTTACGGTCATTTTTCACTTCTGCCAAATTGTTTAGAATATCACCATAAACAGTGCTTCTGAGATAACCCCATAGCCAAAAGTCACAGAGATTGAGGTCTGGTGGGAAGAGGGGAATTGTATGCCTATAAGACGTTCATTCGTGAAATGTTTCCTAAGTAACTGTGCGACACACGTGAGGTGAGGCCCAGCCCTGCATAAAAATCGTAGTATGTAAAATGCCATGTTACTGCAGTTCCATGCAGTTCATGTATCACGAAACATTTTAACATTGACTCTAAGTGAGCTGCAATCACAGTGGTCCAGCTGTCGCCTGCTCTTCAGAGAAAAATGGTTCAGTTATAAAACTAGCTGTCATTCAACACTAAACGGTGTGGAATGACTGCTATGCAATCGAATGCAGTAGGAGAATGCAATGGAACTAGATAGATAACATGAGGGATTTCTTTGGCCCAAACCGATTAAAAGCGTTTTGAATCAGCATCTTCATGTTTTAGTGCCGAATTCAGGTTTAAAAAATTACAAATTAGCGATCTGTAAGAAAACGATTTCCAGATTGTACGCACTTGTGCGAGTGATTTGCGATCTCACATTTTCTAATCGCTAATTCGTGGTTTTCACGGACGAATTTCTCACTTACACAAATGGCGCACTCGACTTTTATCGAATTCAACGCTTTTAAATGGTAATTTGCCTACTTCAAAGTTTCTTAAGGGTATGCAACATGTTAAACCTGTGTAACAAAAAGTTAAGTTAGATTCCGACCCATATTTCGTTTAACAATACTGCATACAACGCCATTTTCCCCCTGATGGTGAGGTTTCCAACTTCCTTTTTTTCGCGGAAAATAAATTCCATGACCTCCTTTACACGATTACCAAGTTGGATAACATTTGATCCAGTAGTTTTCCTTTTATGACCGTTTCAGTGTGGAACTTTAATTATAACCACTCTGTATATTATTAAATTTTAATTTGAAGCTATGCGTTATATGTATACCAAGCGTAAATTTTCGCTTTTATGGAAAAAATAAAGAATCAAAGCAAATATACTTAGGATAATGGACCAAAACTGAAAAAATTTCTCCTCCCTCCGAAAATAAAAATATTGAAACTTCGACCTTGAATTTATTGGATTATTGAAATATTTAATTTGACTTATCTTCTAAGTCCTAGTTCCGACAACAATTCCGTCAAAACTTCCGAATTACTTAAGCTAAAGTAAAAGATTTAGTATATATTCACTGTATGTTAATAAAGTAATCAGAGTGGAATAAAAATAGATTATAAAATTTACGCTGATGCAACTTTTTGTCTGACTGCACAACATGTAATGGAAGAAAAGGCTTGTAGAGATCTGTTTTTGACATGCCTCTAAAAGTAGATGTCATACTTTTTTTGTCTCTTCAATGTCAAAAAACTTTCCTTTGAGAGGCAACTTTAGTTTTGGGGAAAGAAAAAAATCACAAGAAGACAAATTTGAAGAACATGCAGGACGATTGAGTACACATACTTATTTTCCGAAAACAAGCGGTTCTCCGACTGGTTATTGAATAATGAAAAGATGCATTGTCATGCAATACAAAACATTCGGAATAGGTTTTCTGACTGAAAACGTAAGATTAAAAGTCATCTGCTTAATTCACAGTCATTTACAAGTCAACTACTCGGGCAATTGCAGAATCGTTTTGATCCTGAACTTGTAAGACAAACCTAATATCACTGGATTTAAACACTTCTTTAATCTTCCGAGAACATTCCTTCTTTAGCTCATATTCCAAGAATATTTAAGTGAATACAATTATTGCAAAAGCAATTGAATATTCATTTGCACTACGGCTTGGTAGTTTACTAACGAGTTAACAAAACTTAAATTCTGCTTTTTCTGTCTAACAATACAACAATATTTTAATATTAAATTGGAGCCTCACCAGTTGCCTAGCATTTGAAGATTGTTAAATACTAATTGTTTGTTGCGAAGTCTAACCCAGGCTGCATGGTTCGTTTTCGTAGTTTTTCAGGTTCTCTTTACAAAGGTTCTCTATGAAAGCATCTTAACAAATAGCTCCCATGTTCTTTCTATGTTCAAATAACCAACTAACCTAGTTTAAGCGCGATTTACAAGGGAAGTTACTAGCAAAACCCGAATACTCATTAAAAATCATGTAGCTTGCCAATCGGGAGTAACATGAAAGATACGGCGCCAATAATTGAATTGCTGTTACTAAACTTAGATGGTCATTTCTTAATTAAATAGCCCACCAGCGATCGAGCGGTAAAGACGCTGAACACTGGTAGTTCGGTCCGAGGTTCGAATCCCGCGAACGGGCTGCCCGCATGGTTGTTTTCGTGATTTTCCCCATGTGTAACATGTATACGAGCCAGCTTCTCTTAGAAAATCCTCCACGAAGGCATCCCTCCCTTTAGGCAGATAGCCCTCGTGTGCTTTGTCATAATTAAATAATCCAATCCAATCCAATCTTTAATTAAATATAATTGATTTGTAACTTCTACTAGAGCTGATGGTTAGAATTGAAGTGTAAATAAATAATATCGTGTGCAATATTTGCAATATATAAGAAGGATTTATTAATAACCGTAATAATTACTTATTATATTACTAATGATTAGGATTCAGTTCTTGACAATTACATTCTAAATTAGAATTTTAAGAATATAATGAAAATACGCTACGCACAAAAATACATTTTAAGATAGAAAAATGAGTTGATTTTTTATGTTTTAAAACTTCTTGAATTCATTTAATAAACATCGTATCCTCGTTTTTAATTGAATCCAGAATGTTGGGTGTCGTTTATATAATTATTCTTACTTGTCTACAGAATCTGCTGACTTATCCAGCCATTAAGTAGCTGCAGATCATTTCTACACAACCACCGAACTTCCATTAATTCAGTCTCTAGAGGGTTGTATGTTTATATCATAATTTGACTTTTATAAAAATGATTATTCAAAATCTTATGTTTCTATAAAAATATACTGTGCTTTAAAAATATGTATCAGCCGCTTCAAAAGCAACAGTTTGTTTTTAGAAATAAATTATGCAGTTACTGTCATAAAATTCAAATAAACATCAAACAAAAATTCTCAGTTTTAGACAATTTGATTTAAACGAAGTAAAGCAGCAGACGATAAAACGCCGAAGGTAAAAATTTACTCATACCAAAATTTACTCTTATTTTATTTATTATTTTTTTTTCAGATATAGAGAAATTTAAAATAGTTAAAAATTTGAATAATATCTATATAATTAAAAAATAGCTTAAATATAGTATTAATAAATATTATTAAGCATCATTGAGGGAAAAAAAATGTCATATGAATTAATTCTTCGTAAAATTTTACTGAAATTTAAGGTTAAAAATAGCGTGGCAATTCAGTGTAACAAAAATCCATAGACCACATTTGGCGTATTATCCTAAAAAAAAAAAAAAATGCCAAATTTCAAAACGCGAAAATAGTAAATTCGTGTATATCTTAGAAAATTCTGAATAAAAAGCCTAATTTTTGCAGATATGCTTAAAAATACACCTACTTTAAGATGATGGTAAAAATTTTATAGGTTATAATTCAAAATTTTTTTCGAAAAATTTATAAAAATTATTTTAAAAATAAAATGCAAAAAATGGGTAAATTTATTTGGAAAAAACCTAAATTTCGAAATGTGAGAGAAAAAATCAAAAAAAAAGTTAATAAAAAAAGAGATATTAATAAATATTTGCCAAATTCAATTAACATTGAGGAGCTAAAATTTTGAGAGCTTATATTTTAAAAACTACTCGTACAATGTTTACAAAACTTGGTATTCTGGCATAATTTGAGTCGTAGAATCGAAATATGGAAAAAAATTGGTACGTTATTTCAGAAAAAGTCCGATTTTGTGTCAAAATACCTATGTTAGAATAGTGCTATATATAAATCTAATATATATCCTAAGTCGTGCTTTCGAGACATGAAAAACGCAGGTTGAATTTTGTCAATCAGCCCAGTAGAACGGGAGATATAGCACTGTCCATTTTTTTTTTTTTTTTTTTGAGCAGTGTACATTGAATAGGATCTCAAGTCAACCTCTTTCGTAAATAATCAAGTTCAGACTGACTAATGTTCTCAACAACATAAATAAAGAATGGTAACAAAACATCACCAATACTCATCTTCCCTAAAGCAACTAAAATCATCTGGAATTACAGGCAGTCAACTTTTCCTATTTTTATAAGATAGCATACAGTTACTTGGTGCTTCAAATGAAAATTTAAGATGAAATTCTCATTCAGAAATTTCTCAACAAAAACAATGAAATTTACATACATTTAATACAATTATAACAAAGGTAAGAAAATCATATTAACTTGTACATACAATATGATTTTGTTTGCTAAATTGTTTATTTAGTTAACAAGTAAATTTGACACAGATCATAGCTTCCTTCAGTGAAATTTATCAGTTGTAAAATAAAAGAAGATGCATGGAAGCAAGAGAAATTTAACAATTGCAAACCAACTAACCTTCTCTTCAGTGCTACACATTATCTGAGATTCAACAAGAGTGTCCACCATGGCAGTCTTCTTTGTAATGTCGATAACCTTATGACCATCTTTCATTCCAATTACACTAATTAAAGAATCTGTTAAAAGTGAAAAAGATAATAAGTATTTAAATTTAAAACCATTTGCACTTAAACAGAATTTATTTAATTAGATAACAAAAATTATATTCAGGCAACCTTACCTAACTTATTCTTTTTTAGTTTACCCTTTTTATTTTTCAGAACTAGACGTTTAGGGACATCATGAACAAGTGTCAAAGTCGCAGAAAAGACAAATGTTTGTCTTTTCTTGTTATTTTTGTTTCTGAAATTGAAAAGTACAATGGAAAACTTTTTTTTTAATGTAATAAATAGTAGAAATAAAAAACAAAACATTTAAAATAATGTAGTTACAGCAAATTAACAGCTGGTAATTCATGTTAAAGAATATGATTGTCAACTCCATATCTATAGTTTACATTTTTTTGGTGAGGAACACCATTTAAGTTTCAAAATTTAAGCCAGATAAAAATCAGTCACAACATAAATATAGCAATTCAAATTGCTCAACAGTGTTTTCATATCACAGACCAGCATAGCCAAATACGGGAAGGACAATGAAAACAGTTTGCATAGAAATGTGTTCTCAATTTACAGATGTTCCCTCAAATACTGTTCTTAGGTCACAACCTTGCTGGGATGTATATAAATGCAATGGCATGAGGTAGTAGATATTCATGGTCAAACAGATCATGGAGAAACATGATTTCTCTTTGCTGACTTTGATTTTTATCATCCCTTAAAACAGTTCTTAATATTGTACAGAATAAATACTAAATACTATGCTTCTTCCATTTTTTTTTTTTTTTTTTTTTTTTTTTTTTGCCGTCTTCTGAAGATAAAGTTAAATGCCACTAATCCTTATTTTCATGTATACAATAGAAATGAATAAGTATTTGTGTTCAATGTACTTTGCATTACTTTATTAGTATAATATACAATATAATGCACAATATGCTTTATTTATTATTATTTTACTCAAGGTTGGCAATGTCTCAAATTGCTTTACTTATCAATTAGACTGTATTCATATATGGCTTATGAATATCACACATTACAACCTTTCCCAATCAAAGGAAAATCTTGGAGCAAGTTACTTAAGAACACAGGGACACTATTATATTGCACAAAATATTCATAAGAAAATTCATTTTAAGAAATTTCATATAGTTTTCTATGCAACACTACTGTTAAAAAATTGACAAATAACCTTTCAATAATTTCAAGTTAAAATTAAAAACAATTGTTATTAAATATAAATCTTTCCTTCATGATTCATTAATGAAAATCTGATCACATATTTATTTTAACATTTTCACTAATACAGATTTTCAATCCATTCTCTGTTGTCTCGATCATTCCATCAAAATTTACGAATAATTAAAATCATTTTAAAATTAACATAAATTATACGCAACCAAAACAATAGCTGAATTCCAAAGCAAAGAACCAAAGGTTCATAAAATGAATATATAGTACAAGGCACATTTCATTTCATGGAATTTATTTTATAAGAGATAAACAGAATTGAACACAACATATTTACATGACCAACTTTACACAATGATAAGTAATTTAAGATAAGACATTTTTTCCAAAATATAATTTCTGTTAATCCTTTTCATAAATTACATTAAAATTATTACAAAATAAAGTTTTTTCAGCCTTTAGATTATAGGTACTTTTGCATTAACAGCAGAGTGGCCAAAACATGTGGGCACACATCAAGCTATAGCAACCTTATATCACAAACTATAAACTAAATATTACCGAAACTTTTTCAATTCAGTCATGTATTTTGATTGAAATTTTTAGCTGTTGCTAACTGTAATCATGTTTTAATGCTAAAACAGCTGCTGTAGTCAACAGTCATGTTGAGGTTTAAAAAAAAAAAAAAAAAAAAAAAGAGACTGAAAAATTTAAAACTGACTTACTGACTCACATGAATGTAATAAAATCATCATTTACTTATTTTTTCACATACTCATATATGATTATGCTTTTGAGTGATACTGTACATACTTATACAAGTTAATACTATAGTAACATTTTTACGTGTGGTTTAGTTGAATCATTTAACTCCAGTGATGCATCAGAACGATGTTAGAAAAAATTCTGGATGATAAAGTATTTTGAATATACCAGGTAGTTATAATTAAACTTCCCCTATAAACGACATTCTACAGTGCAAATGGGTGAACGGAATACAACACAAAATTTTGTACATGGACTATAAATGAGATGGGCTCAGGGAATTTTGAAAAAAAAAAAAAAAAAATTTAGTACCAAAATGTCCACTGGAGGGCGCCTTTTCGAGAAAAACAGAACAATTAATACAATAAATGACCAGAAAGGAATACAGAACCAATAGTAACTGTTATTGTTTAGTTTCTGAATCACCTTGTCATTGAACCATATTAAGTAAAGGTAAGGAAGATACAAAAACAGCTCAGTTTGCAGAAACAAGAATAGATTAGGATGAAATTGAACAAGAGGAGCAGTTGTTAATAGTGCCCAGGAAGATATAGGGAAAGGTTGCTCCATGTGACCACCCTCATTCATCTGCAAAATTTCAAGTCGATGGACAGTATGTTCAGTAGCAGATAGTGTGTTCAATAGCAACTGATCAGTTGTGAGGCTATGCACATGAAGCATTATGTAGTTTTTTAAGTCATTCAACGTCTCGCAAGGAGTTAGATCTGGCGAACGTGGTGGCGATGGATTAGAAAAGGAGCGACTAATAACATATTCCTCTGTGAAGTGTTGGTGCAATAGTTCACGGACCCAAGGATATGTGGGGGCACAAAATCCTGCATGAAAACGGTTGATGTAAGGACCCGGCTTTGTAGTCACGGCACAATAATCGTCTGCAGCATGTCATGGTACTGACGACCCGTAACGGAACATGTAATAGACTGGTGTTCACTGATTTCCTCAAAGAAGAATGGCCTAAGGATGAATGTCACCGTGAATCCACCCCAGACAGTGACCTTTGGAGACCATAGGGAAATTTCAGTGTGGATCCTGGATTTTCCTTAGTCCAAATGTGGCAATTCTGTGTGTTGACTGTCCCATTGAGGTAGAAATGAGCCTTGTCACTCCACAGAATATTCCAAGGCCATGACAGATCAACAGTCATTCTGTTGGGAAAACTGACTGCAAATGAGAGACGTTGTGGGTTGTCCCTATCAAGCAGCTCCTGGGTATAGCAGATCTTGTATGGGAAGTAGAGCATTATGTTTCTGAATACTTTTCAGACGATGCTGTAAGAATATCCTGTGTGTCGAGAAACTGCATGCGTACTACTGCCCCAAAACTCTCAATGCCTGTGACTGCGTTAACCGCTGTCTTGATGGCTTCAATAAGTACTATTGTGACACATTTACGACCACTTCCAGGTTGAACTCCTAATTTCCTAGTCTCTTTAAATTTCTTAATCATGGCCTGGATACCTTTAGTAGACATTGGTTCACGCCGTAGGTTCTTTCTACAACGAAATTCACAAATAGCAGCAGAAGCATTTCCCATGTTTTCGTAAAACAGCTTTCCCAATAACTCATGTTCAACTAAAGAGACCACCATTAGTACAGCCGAAACATCAACTTAAACATCACAACGTCTTCAAACGTTTTATACCCTAACCTGTTTTGCATAAAGCTTTCCCTTTTTCCTAAGCATGCAAACCTCGACATTTTTCTCTTACAACTGACAGCTTTTTCTGATTTTGCATTTTATTACTCATAATTTTTGTTCTGGATTATTAATATTGTTTCTGTATTCCGTTTTGGTTGTTTAGTGTGTTAAATCTCACAATTTTCCTGAAAAAGCACCATCTGGTGAACATTTTGGAATTATTTTTTTTTTTTTTTTGAAATTCAGTGAGCGCATATCAGGGTTCATAGCCACATTTTAGTTAAAAAAATAAGCACCTATAAAGACTTTTCAAGCACATTTTAAGAAAAAATAAGCACTTGTCTAATTACATTATACACAACTGCATAACCTTAAAAATTAGACTTGTAATTTAAAATAATGAGAAATGGAGTATTTATTAAGAAAGAATAAGCATTACCTCAACCATGGAAAATAATTACTTTTTTTTAAAATTTTAAATAACAGTACAATTTACAGAACTAGTTTACAACGAGAGGGAAAAAACTATGCAGAACTAAACTATATTACAAGATTTAATGATGAAATTTCAGTTCAAAATAGAGAAAATAAATAATAATAAGGAATATTTATTGTATTTGCTTGGAACCAAATAATAAATACAATTCATTTTTCCACTCATATTGATATTTAAATAATTTAAATCTAAATTCTGAACATTTTCTAAATTTTCATTGTATATCAGTTTTCTCTTAACAGATATTGCAAGCAAAGTAATTTAAGTAAAAAAAAGGAACATTTCTGAAACCAGAAGACAGAAATTTGCTTTATGCAGTCATCCTTTAACAGTAAAAGCTTAACTACCCTGTATACTTGGAAATTGGCGAATATTCGGACAGTCGAGCGTAACTTGAAAACGAGAGGAGCTGAAGGGGGATAGACTGTAGCCGCTCTTTAGATTTCTCCGCTAAATAAATGCTTTTGACATTTTGATATATGCATCACATAAAAATAAACCAATTGAACTGAAAAATATTCTGCTTAGCAAGCACAGTAAAACTCTTTTAAGTGTTCATAAACAAATATCGGACTGAACATCAAAACTAATTACCTCTGCAAGATATCGCAAACGTTATTGCGCAATACGTGCGCCGTAATTCTTCCCTACGTGATATTCCGCAATCGGAATCAACAGCTGCCAGTATTGGGAGAATAAAGAACTAAATAACTGGGGTGTTTTTCATTTTAATTTTCAACAGACGGCATTAAATTCCTGGAATAGAATCATTCTTCGCTTGGGTTGGTAGACTGCAGAATTTTTAGTCCTATTCAATCCAGATTGGAAAAACACACATGCCAAAAAAAAGAGGGTCTGTGGCTTGTTTTGCAGCACACTGTAACAGTTTCAATATTTGAGATTTTGTGGAGAAAGGGGAGAACCTCCCAATCTTCGTACTGTATAACGTATTGGCCAAAAAAATGAAATTATTTTGACTATTCGATGACTTTCCCTTTATTTAAGCCATTCCGAATATTATTCCTTAGAAAGCTAATCTGTGTTAAAACACAACCATTTTTGGAAGTTTACTATACTTCAGCAGTTACTGCAACTATGTTATTATAAACATTCATACATATGCTCATAATATAAGCATAATGATCATAATAAACACTAATATAAACTGACCAAGCGGAACGAGAATGCAAATTATTAAGATCTTGATAGAAATTCAAACGCACCTGTCTGTACTCTTCGTGCACACCAAAGGTTATGTTAATGCAGAGATAGGGGGAAAAGCTATTTCTGGGAGTATGATTCACCATCTGACATTCCATATTAGGAAGAAAAGTTGTTTTTAGTTTTGGCTTTGGTACAGGGAAAAATAGCGCGTTCATTAAAAAAAAAAAAAAAAAAAAAAAAAAAAAAAAAAAGCACTAAAAACAAAAAAATAAGGGCTTTAAAGAAAAAGTAAGCAGCTAGCACCATATACAAAATTTCATTGCATTCTGTCCATGCCTTTGCGTTGTAGTATGCCGTTTTGGGGAAATTTAATTATAACCACCCGATACTGTTAAACATCATAATTACTGTTCTACGATATATTTCACACTAATATTTATGTTTGTCAATACCAATTGTTTGATTGCTGGGAAAGTATGAATAGTAATACTTTAAATTCTTTATCAATCAATTAACTGTTACAGATTTATATTTTATCGTAATTGTCCCTTTATTACTGTCATTAACAGAAATCTATTGTAAAGATAATTACCCATTAATAATCGCTATAATCTGTGTAAGTTCAGCAAAATGTCCTTTTTCTACCATTCTGTCAGCTTCATCTATGACTAAATATCTCACACTTGAAAGGTGGCTTAAATGTGATTCATCCTATTAAGAAAATAATCTTAGAACAAAATATGCATAGAGGATTATTAGAAAACTTTTAAAGAGTTTAAAATAAAATGAAATTTAATAATGCACTGGAATCTATTATGCAAACTAAATGTTTGAAAAGAAAATAATTAATCTAGTTACTGTTTTCCTTCTTTGATTAACATCTTTTGAGCAAAAATAATTATGTAGATACAATGGTAATCTATGTAAAAATTCATTAATGCTTGAATTTTCAATTATGAAAGAATCATTAATATATATCTAATATAATTATATATATATATATTAATAAAAATTTTAAGGATCAGATTATATTGGAAGTTACAAATAATGAATTCAAAACAAATGTTTAAAAAAGGAAGAAGGAACAAGGAAACTACCACACATAAATTGAGATTGTTACCAAACATATAGTTATATTATTCCAAAAGTTCGTATATTTTAAACATTGTGTCCCACTTTTTAGAAACTGCTTCATTGTGTCCTACTTTTTAGAAACTGCTTCATTCAGTGCTTTGAAGATGAAGTGGCTGCAAGAACAGCCACTTCATCTTCAAAGCACTGAATGAACAGCTCATAAAACCTCTTTTCAAAATAATTATCATTAAATACAATTTTACAAAAAATATTTTTAATAAGACCAGTGTGATGCATGCATTTGTTTGCTGTTGATGACTGCAATGAAGTCCAGGTCATTTCATGTTATTTACAGATGCAAAGAGTTTGGCACTTGCAAAGCTTGTTTTAGTACTTCTTACTGGTTTTAATTCCTCCCATTGTCAAAAATCCAACTTCACAAAAGTATGAAGGCTGTGGAAGGGAATAGCATCAGTAAAAAGAAATGGATAAGGTTACAGGACAGATAACCAGTCAATTTTCATACTATATTTTTTCATAGTAAGTTCTTTATCAGCTATTGAGGACATTATAGCAGTAATGTTGCCTTGCACAATCCAGTTCTTCTCTTGACAGTTTTTTATTTCTTCAGCAAAGTAAAAATTACTTTGGCTGCTGACAAATGGAAAATGTGATTTTCTGACCAATAACAGTGTGCCGAGAAACAGAGGATTTACGAGTTTCTTTTATCCTAACACATGCTTCATGATCCTAAGGGTGAAATTTTAAGGCTCGCTTAGTTTGACCACATAAATTAAACCCCAATGGCAAAGAATCTTGTACATATCCCAGGAATTTCATATCCAGAATGGGATCTTTACAAATGCGACAGACAATTTTAATGACAGAAGAGAAAACAACCCAAATGTTAAATTTCTGTGAAATACATGCAATTTTATAACTAATAAATGGAAAGAAAGGAATGACAACAGAATTCTTACAATCTCTTTAAATCAAAGGGTATTTTTTGATGTGTTGAGATGAGATTTTTTTAACTGTTTGGTTAATAATGTTACGTGAAAAGCCTTTGTCAATAGCAACTGCTTTTAAGTAATTTAGTTCTTGACCAAGAGCTGAATGGAAGAGCAAACTCAAAGTGCATGGAAAATGAAGAAATAACATGAAGCTACTTTATATTTAGTCCAATGACATGATTTGAAGTGTGGTACAATGCAAACAGATGAAGGCTTATAGTATACAGCTGTTGAAATTGGATATGTTGTGCGTGATCAAGATGTCGAGGAATGGAAGAGAATTCATGCCTCATAATGTATAAAAACATGTTACACATTCAGTCTAACATGCCATGCATTTAGTTCTTTTTACCATGGCTTTTAAGTATAAATTTAATTCATTAAATTTAGTAGTGAATATATCTATTAAATATTTGAACTTCAAAACAAATTTCAGATCATCTGAAATTTTCCTAATTTGTTTTTATCGCCCTGAAACACTGCGTCTTCTTCACACAATTCCACAAGTTTTGTTAGAACTTTCCCTCATGATAGCTAATGTACTTCTGTATGCAGAAGTGATTTGTGGTTCCTCTCCTCCACTCTCTTCACAAAACTTTTCAAATAAATATTGTTGTACTAGTCTTGACCTTACTAATTTACTATTTTGACAGCAGTGTTCAAAACATTTTTTAAATCATCTGGCTCATTTTGATAACAATGCTTTTCAGACTGCAGTGAGTCTATGATGCATTTGGACTGACTGGAAGCACTTGAATAACAACACATTTAATCTTCAGATTTTATACAAGTGTCTCGAGTCTTGAACATTTCTTTACTAGTTCCTTGAATAATTGGTTCACAATATAACATATCTTTATGCAATTCGTTTTTCCATATATAATGTATAAAAACAACTATCTGGGGCAAACCTTGTATATCAGTAGATTCGTCCAGTTGTGGCTAAAAAAATTTACATTTGCTAATTCTATGGACAACTGATTTTCTGCTTACTAAGACATTTCATTCAATTCTGACAGCTACTGTGTTATTTGACAGAGATATTGTTTTGACTTTTTTTATGCTTTTTTCACCAAATATAGCTTCATCTACACACTTTATTCCTAGCAGCACCTAAGTTTTTCCAATTGTATGTGGCTTACCAGTTTTTGCAATTTGGGATGTCCAATATCCGGACCAAAGGATTAGCAATTGAAAATTCTGAATTTATTAATTTTCTCTTACAAATGATCCCAAATATGCTCAATAGGCTAGAAGTCTGGCTTAAACACAAGTGTTTTGATTAACAAATTATGGGTATCAAAAAGTTCACAATTTGCAAATATGAGCATTATTCTTTGGATCATCATCCTGATAAAGTTTTAATGCTATGAAGTCCTTTTTTTGGGTGCTGAGTTTCATATATTGTTTTAAAACATTCAAGTACATAAAAATATCAATTTTGTCGCCAATAAAAGGTAGACTTTAAATGTCACAAACAGTTATACAACTCAAGACTGTCCTCATACAGTTACCTCCGCCATGTTTTCACAATATAATTTGTTTTTTATCATTCTTAAAATACTAAATTTACTTTTGTCTACAAATGTAACCAAATTCTAAAAATTTGAGGCATTTTAATTCAAGTTTTGATGAACTGTAATCATGCTGTTATGAGCCTCTACTTGAATTTTGTTCATTCAGTCGGTACTCCATTAAAAGAAGAAACGTAAAGGGAGATTTATAATTAAGTAATACGGGCAATCCACCTTAATGCAAAATCATGGTGTTTTTAATTCTAAAACATAAAAACGATACTATGTTGCCAAACCGTAAAATTTAACATTTTAAGGAATTACATTTATACAACCGTTGAGTTGCTCACGACATCTCCTCCCACCTTTTGACTTATAGTGGGCGGAACATAATCAAAATACAATATACTTAATAACCAGGCTAAACAGTACTTAGTATAATCATAAAATGAAAAAAAAAAAAAAAAAAAAAAAAAAAAAAAAAACTAATTAAAACATGAAGGTTTTACAATAGTTCTACCACATCTAGTTTTAATTATCTTATCAGAAGGATTAAAGTTAACTTTTTTACTAGCAGGAATATTAAATTGGTTTTGTTTAGGTAAAAACAAGTTCTCGTCGTCCATCACTTCCAAAGGATACAATCGTTGTACATGATGGATCAATTCACCTGCAGCTGTTTTCACCTTTGTCACTCTAACATAATTATCTTAACTCTGGATTAATTCTATAACTCAACCCAATGGCCAGTCCAATCTTTTTTTGGTGTCACTTCCCACAAGTACCACATCTCTTAAATATATTTGTCTTTGAGTAGCTTTAATATACTAATTCAGAAGTCAAACAACAAAAATCAGCGTTATATTTTGAAATTTTCCCAGGACTAGTTTCGATGGTTTTACCGAACCACCATCATCAGCTGCAAAAGTGCAAATGAACGAGATATGATATAATGATCAGATCAGATAAGAAAGCAGTCAGATCAGATAAGATCAGATAGTCAATATTTTTAATGTTAGTTTATCAGAAGAACAAGCGAGAATTCTAAAATATAATTTTAACTTCTCACCAACCTGTAAACCCTCGATTCCAAAGATTTTGGCTCCTATCGAAAAACCTTTCAAGTTCAGCAAAGTTTCACATTCACAGAAAGAAATGATTAGGCATCTTATCACTCATAATGTGAAATTCAATAATAAACCTTTGAAACCAAATCTAACTGCGAAAGAAAGAGCTACAATGCGCAAAATTCATTCTAACCCAGAAATTATCATTTCAAAGGCCAACAAAGGTGGCCAGATAGTCGTCATGGATAAGAACATTTACATCAATGGTGTCACTAAACTCTTAAACGAAGGACCATATATAATCCAATCCCTAAAGATCCTTCACCTTCAGACCTCTCAAAAATAAAAACTGCGATCAAATATTCACAAATCATTTCAACCAATTTAAAACAATCACTTATCCCATCTGTTGCGAATTGTGCCAGATTATATGCTCTTCCCAAAATTCATAAAAGTGGTATTCTTTTCCGCCCTATTGTATCAAATTTAGGTACTGCCCCGTATGCATTTGCTAAATATTTAGATTCTAGATTTTCAACTCTATATAGAAATAACATGTACACCATAAAAATTTCAATAGAGTTTGTAAAAAAACGTGAAGCGAAAATTCGCTTCACGTTTCTTCGGGGGTTATGAGACTAAGTATTAGTTATAGGTCAAATAAAATTCCACATTTCTCCTAGAAATTTACTCATGGTTTCTTTTGATGTAAAATCATTATTCACCAATGTTCCAGTGGAGGGTGCATTAAGATGTCTAGAAACCAGACTTCGCGAATTTCATTTCTCTTGCATTGAAATTGATGAGCTAATTTCTCTCACTCAACTCTGTTTGAAACAAACATATTTTGTTTTCCAAAATAAATGTTACAAGCAAACTGAGGGATTAGCCATGGGAAACCCCCTCAGTCCCATCCTGGCCGATATCTACATGCATTATTATGAATCAAAATTGTTTGAAACTTTAAAGTTCCCGGTATGGTTCAGCTACATAGACAATACTTTTACCCTGTTTGAAGGTAATAAAGATGATTTAAATAAAGT